GAGGCTTATGTTCAGCAGTGGACTTATAATGGGCTTAATTATGATAATAAATATAGATTATACGAATACTTATTGAAAGTCAATTTTGCATTAACCACTGGTTCGGAAAAACACCTCTGTCGTTGGAAGGAGAGAGAGAGTCCCGAAATTATTACTATCCCGCATCTGCAATTCCCCTGGTTCCCCTGGTGTTGCAGTTGTTCATGGGCGGCGGTAGTCACTTACCATCAGGTGAGCCGCATGCTCGTTTGCCCCCTCTCCAATAAAAAAAAAGATATTTCTCAGGTCTTAATTACTGGATAAAGAAGTAACAAACATACAGTTAGTTAAAAGTTAGCCTATATACGTCCCACTGCTGGGCACAAACCTCCTCTCATTTCTGAAAGGGTTTCAGACAAGGAAATGTCCACCACGCTGCCCCAATGCGTGTTGGCGAACTTCATCTTTCTTCGAAATATTTTTTTCTTATTTCTCAGACATGCCTGTTTCCTCACGATGTTTTCCTTCACCGCCAGGGTTGCTCGCGAACTCGAAATTTACAGCGAGCGCTAACCATCTGAGCTACCGCGGCACATAAGTTTCGCTGCAATCACGATCAAATGTGAATAGCGCGTAGGTACGTTACAGTGTGAGAAGCTAACAAACCTTTTGATATAACTTCTTTTAGCTTATTATAAATATGAATCCGGTAAATCTTAACGACGCCATATCAAATGTTTGTTACAAGGTTAGACTAGATTTCAGAAGATTTTTGTCGGATCCGATATCCGAAAAATGAGAATAAACCGTTTCTGTAAATTATATTTACATCTAACTTACTTTTACAGTTACAATATTAAAAAACTATAACTAAAAAATAACTAAAACGAATAACTTAATTATCATACAATCCTACTCCCCGTGGTATCGTGCCAAGAACGCTGGCTGCGTTTCCCCGCCAAATAGTTATACTTAGCCTTTGAGCGAGAAATGAACCAACTCTTTTATCACCAGCAGTAACGATCAGTCGCGGGTAGAGTTCCTTTAGGAACTTCACCGCACGTGGACCCCATGGACCGATAGTCTCTACAGCAAATGGCACAAATATGTAGTCATCTCTCAGAGACTCATGTTTGCGCCTCTTAGTTCAGCTGCCTCTGATGCCGCCCCGGCTCTAAACGAGGTACCCCTGAGATGAGAGGTCGCCCAAGTATCTATGCGAGTAGCATCCCACACTAGGGCTTTATTTCTCTCCCAAGGGACCAAAATCATATCGTTGGGTCTCCTGATATTGTCTCTAAATATTCCACAAGGCTCTAAAACCGAGGTAACATTTATAGAGACAAAATCCCTTCGGGTGACATCGTTCAAAGAACCGTGCCGTGCAAACCTACCAGCACTTTTCTCACATGAAAGTCTGTGGAGCCCAAACTTGTCGACGCTGCTACCACAGGGGCACTGATGGGGTTGACAAAGCGCCGCTCCTAATCGGATTCCTACGGCGATGCGAAAGCTTTCCCCATCAAGTAATGTGCCAAGATTACTTGATGGTAAAGCGTGTAAGCAGTGACTAGATTCCTTAGTCGAAACAGCCAGAAGGCATGCCTGATCTTGGTCACTATGGAAATAATAAAAAATCTTTCTGCACACTCTGTACTGTAAAAGGTACCAGTTTGACACTGTAGGAAATCCGGCCATGAATGTAGCGAAGCGGAGATATTTATTAAAAAATCTAAACAGATCTCTACAGCACTCAAAAGTATTTGTATTATGCCTTTATATTATGTCTTTACATAGCTTTCTATTGACTTGAAATATGCTGTAGCCCGCATATTTCATCATCATTAATAAAAGCATTTTGCTCTATAAATGAAATATTATCACAATACTTCTCAGAATTTATTCCATATTGATAAAAATTGTATGTAGTCGTTATGCTTTGACAGCTGACAACGACTCAGCAGAAAGATTTTCCTGTATAAATGAGTATTATGTCTCAAATCAAAAAATTATTATTATAATAGCTGATATTGATCTTTTTATTGTAATTTTTAACCAAAATTGTCATCTAAATAACAAAATAAAATAAGTTAAATAAACATTGCTTTTGACAATTTTTAAATCAAGTTCACGTATTTAACTCACTAATTTAAGTTTTCTCATAAAATATTTAGAACAATTGTATTATATATAAGTATATGTCCTTTATAGATATTATATTTATAAAGGCCTTAAGCTATTAGAAAAGGTGACCTTTTCTAATAGCTTAAGGCCTTTATAAAAATAAAAGAAATTTTGCAAATAAAAACAAAAGTAAAAATTAATGTTTGAACAGTGAACGTCATGTACATAATTTTCACTAACCACATTTTCAAGGTGCTATTATTGTCTAGAGATATATCTTAGTTGATAATACGCCCTATCTTTCCCTCCAAGGACATCCCTTACCATGTTTTGGTCTGAATAGGGAAAAAGACAGTGTCATTTTAAGTTGTGAGACATTTTATTTAGTGCATGTTTATTCATGTCAAAGAAGGCTTTACTGTTGGTTGCGGATGCTTTACAACAAAAAATGATATGCTGTGGCGATGTAACAGAACCCATCATTCCATTTGTACCCATGGGTGTCGTTATAGGAAACTAAAGGAGAGACCGGAGGGAACTTAAATCCTCCATTATTTGGCGGTACACTTTTTGTGTAATTGTGTCAAATTTGCGAGACATCTGGTACGGCGATCAATAATGTGCCTGTCAAGAGTGACAATTACAGCATTTTTTTTTACAATCAACATTACAAAGTACAAAGACCCATGTCTAGCAGTTGACTGTTATAAAAATTGTTGTAGCGGTAAGCACTTTCTGCCATATTAAATGATTAATACACTATGCTTATTGCATCAAAGAGCTAGTATATGAAATAATTTCGACGAGAATTGCTAAATACGCAACAAATTAGTTTCTACTGACATCGCAAACTTCTTGAACTAAGATTATCAACCGCAAAGCGAACAACTGAATAAGCCGTTGTCATTAAAATAATTGCGAAGTTTGTTTGCAACTTGTTGTTATTATTCTATCTATATTAATATAGATTCCTTGTCGTCTCTTATTAAAAACACCAGTAATGCATGTCATTTTGCGTTACTTGTGTGCGGATTAGATCTACTCATAGATATATACATACGAGTACATACACATCAGGCTAATACAAAGCGCATAAAAAGAGTATATTTTAAGAATGGAGATAAGCTACATCAACGATATCATCATTGTAGTCTATCACAAGCCCAATTCTAACCATAGTTCTTCCCAAAATACTAACACTGTGAATGAATCTGGGAATTATATTCGGTTACGGACAAATTAAGAAAAGCTATATATCATGCGATGAAAATTAATTACGGGTGACCGTAACGAATTGGTCCCTCGTCGACGTCAATTGAACTGTCATTATCACATCAGAAGTGTAGTGCCAAGTAAACACTCTAGCTCCAGGGTGTCACTTTATTGCCTTTGCTACGCAATCACTTCCTGCAAACACTTAAGCACTCTATAGTTATATTACGAAAATGTTTTATTTAGCTATATATAATATAGGAATCGTTATTTATTGTAGATTTAAAAAAAATAAACAAATATTTTTATGCTTTAAAACGTAGTTGATGAGCACACAGTCCACCTGATGGTAACTCGATGCTGCGCCCAACATCTACCTTTATCCCCGATTAAGAATAAAATGCAGATATGTTGTCAACTCTGAGGACTAAGATAGAATGCCTCGTTACCAGTAAAAAACGTTTCCGGTTCTCTAGCATTAAGCTGCTATTTCACGAGGGTGTTTTGTGAGAATGTGGTCCTTCCCCGATCGAGTCGATCAATTCGTACTGCAACCATAATAAATCTGCAGAGTGGCTCTACCACGTAAAGACTTGGCCTGCTTATCCTTAATTAAAAAATAATTAAATCTATAAAAATAAATAAAATTGAAGTGTCTGTTTGTAATGTCAAAATTGCGGCTTTTTACTAAATGCATATGAAAGTATATACGTTACTTATAACAAAAACACAATTTTCAGAATTTTTGTCTGTCTGTCTGTCTGTTTGTTCCGGCTAATCTCTGAAACGGCTGGACCGATTTTGACGGGAATTTCACTGGCAGATTTTAGAAAAAGAATTAGGGTTCCGCGCCAAAGAACTAAAACTCCACATAACACGCGGGCGAAGTCGCGAGGATCAGCTAGTTAACAATATAACTCTTTACTTTAACTCTCCAAATTTAAAACGATATTTCTAGAATCATTTCTTCTCCGGCAGCAACGCGCCAGTACATGATGTGCCAATCCTATATATAAATATGTTTGTGTGTATATATATATATATGTATTAAGAATTTATAAAGTGTTTATTTCTTCATCTTTTTCTTGGAATTCATTCCAAATATGTGTGTATAGAAAGATTTGTGATTGTATAAATGTACCTATATATATATATATATATATATATATAGGTACTATGGAATTAGGGATCAATCACTAAAACTTATTAAATCTTATTTGAGTAATAGGAGACAATTTGTAGAAATTGTAGATACAAATGAAACAGGAGTGCAGAGCAAACATAGATCTGTAGTAACTATAGTAACAAGAGGTGTACCTCAAGGTTCTGTACTGGGACCGATATTTTTCATAATATTTTTTAACGATTTAATAGATTACATCTGCAATCTGGTTCCTGATATACAAGTAATTACTTTTGCAGATGATACGAGTGCAGTACTATCATCAAAAACTGCAGAAGAGTTAAAGGACAGGATTATTGTAGCTATGACAACATTCCGAGAATGGTTCACAGCAAATGGCTTATTGCAAAATGCAACTAAAACTAATATCGTCATGTTCAAAGCCACCACAAGAAATAATGACATAACAGAAGTGAATATAAATGGGGAAATAATAAAAACTGTAAGTTCTGTGAAGTTTTTGGGAATTCATCTGGACGATCTCCTAAATTGGAAAGTTGAGCTGGCAGCCATAACAGACACAATAAGTTCAGCAAGCTATGCCTTACGCACCTTGCGGGAAGAATTGACAATAGATCAACTTTTAAACGTATACTATGCGCTTGTTGAATCCAAGCTAAGATATAGCATCAAATTCTGGGGCAATAGCTATAAATATAATATGAAAAAAGCATTTACTGCTCAGAAAAGAGCTATAAGAGCAATGGTATGCGTTCCGCCTTGGGAATCATGTAAAGAATACTTCAAAAAGCTAAAAGTTCTTACAGCACCCAGCGTGTATGTTTTGATACTTCTGACTGATGTTATAAAAAACAGGCATTTTTATGAAAGTGATGAAGAAATGAAAGAGAGAGAAAGCACCAGAAGGATGGACTTGACTTTGCCTATTATACCTAAAATGGAAATTGTAAAACACTGTCCTCGTTATCAGGCAGTTTTACTTTTTAACAAGATGCCAAAAAAACTAAAAGAAATAAAAAAGTTAAGTGTTTTTAAAACAGAGTTGAAGGCACTACTTATAGAGAAATGTATTTACAGTGTTGATGAATTTTAACTATAGAGTAGTCATAATATTTATTTAAATGATAATAAATTTAATAGTTTGATTATTTCTCATTTCTTTTTATTTTTTTTTGAAGTTTAGTTTTTTATTATATTATGTAAACAATATATTATTCAACATTTGTGATGAATATTAATCGTTAAGTAGGTAGAATAATGATTGTGATGACATTTATTAGTTAATTTAATTTTTATTTTATTTTATTTTATTGTTTGATTATCTAATTAATTTATTTTGTTTAACTAAGTTAAGTTTTAGAATATAAATTGGACATTCCTGTAATATTCGTACACAATTTATTGTTAATGAATAAAGACATTGATTGATTGATTGATTGATATATATATATATATATATATATATATATATATATATATATCAAAAATATATATATATATATATATATATATATATATATATATATAGGTACATTTATACAATCACAAATCTTTCTATACACACATATTTGGAATGAATTCCAAGAAAAAGATGAAGAAATAAACACTTTATAAATTCTTAATACAATATATTATGTACCTTACACGCGAAATGGTTTCTGCAAATATATACACTGTCGGTGCGTCGCCCTTTTCTCTTCCAAACATCTTGACTATTGACGAAGTGCCGTGTGTCTATATCGTGTAAATATTATAACAATTTGCGGCCTAAAGTAATGTACGCCTTGTATCACTAAATTAATTTACCAGCAGCAAGGGCCAGTTGCATTTATTTTACTGTACAATAAAAATTACAAAAACGTATGAATCTAATACTTAAAAAGTCATTAGCGCCAAATGACAATGTAATACCGTAATCTACACTAAATCTAATAGAGGTACCCTAAGATGTGTAGGCAATATTATATATATTTATAAATATATAGAAATAAGGGTGACAAACGAGGATACCGTTCACCTAGCGATAAGAGGATGCCGCGGCTGAGGCCTGCTGGGCATGGGGCTCTCGCGTTGAAAAAGTTAGCCGAGCTTAGTCATTGAACTATAATATGAAAAATAGCACACCGTCGTCGCTCAGATGAAAAGCGTTGCCATATGCACGCAACTCAGGATCGATCCGCACCGGCCAACAAAATATTTAATTGCAATCTCAAGTGCTGATTTATTTACCTACAATATTAAACCATGTTATAAATATAATATATATAATAAAATATGTCTCTGAGAGATGACTACATATTTGTGCCATTTGCTGTAGAGACTATCGGTCCGTGGGGTCTACGTGCGGTGAAGTTCTTAAAGGAACTCCATCCGCGGCTGGTCGTTGCTGCTGGTGATAAGAGGGCTGGTTCTTTTCTCGCTCTAGGGTTAAGTATAGCCATTCAGCGGGGAAACGCAGCCAGCGTTCTTGGCACGATACCGCGGGGAGTAGCACTATATGATAATTTAAGTTTCTAGTTTTAATTTTTTTTTATTATTATAGTTTGTAATATTGTCATCATCATCATCATCATCATTACAGTCTTTCATAAGTCTACTGCTGAACATAGGCCTCCCCCAAGGAATGCCACAAAGCATGGTCCTGAGCCACCTGCATCCATCGACTTCCTGCATGTCTTACCAGGTCGTCACTCCATCTTGTGGGGGGTCGCCCTACACTTCGCCTACCGGTACGAGGCTGCCACTCAAGAACCTTTCTTCCCCATCGGTTGTTGGTTCTGTAATGGCGGTGTCGTGGTGTAGTGGCGATCAAGAATATCCACTACCCCGTACACCCGTGGGTGTCGTAAAAGGCGACAAAGGGAGGCAGGCAGGAGATGGGCAGCAGCATCTTCCTGATAACAACAAACTTACAATAAAAAAACTGCGGTTGCTAACCCGCTCGCCAAGCGTGGCAACTATGGCAAATACCCCCCTATGAAATGTAATATTGTATATAATAAAATAAATGTATTTGATACACATGCAGAAGAAAAAAAATATATGTTAGGAATACAATATTTCGAGAACGTGTAAGAGTAGCGCGGCGGACTATTAGCTGTATAGGCAATCAGTCCGCCGCGCCATATATCCTCAGAAATGAGAAGACGCATTTTCCCAGTAGTGGGATGCATAAAGGCTGTAACTTTACTTTAATATAACACATACGGTAGTACATTAAATTCAATTCCTTCAATCAACTCAACGAATTCCGTTCGATTCGCAACAAAATTAAATCAAATCAACTTCTCGAAACCTTCCTTCGCAGTTCATTGATTCCCTACGTACGATTGGGGACGTTGACCCGGCTGTAATTAATTTTGTTGGAAGCTACGGATCATTTGAAATAATGGCCAATCGTGCCACTTTAATTTGTAGTTTCTGTCCTTCAGGTATTTCAGAGATTCCATCAATTCCCCTCACTTATCTCTCTAAAGAAGTTGTGGGAACTAATTACAGCACCGTAGATAAACGTACTGCATACAGCGGAGCTTTGATCATATCATATAGCCGATATAATCAGAACGATTCTATCAAAAGGTTTAAATTATTTATTAAGCAAAAATTGTCTAGTAAGGGTTATTATACTACTAAAAAGTACATGACTGATAATAACCCCTGGGAATGAGGTGATCACTACCATGCTGTTTCTAAATGTTTTCATAATGATTTTATAAAATATTATATTGTAAATGGTGCTTTTATATAAAAGAAGTCCCGCTAGGTTTCTTGCTGGTTCTTCCCAGGACAGGATTTTTTTGCGAACCAGTGGTAAAAGTAATAAAATGACTTTCAATAAATATTATGTACCATAATCTATATTGAATAAAAATGATTCTATTCTATTCTATTATAATATAATAGTCCGCTATTAAAATGTATCATTTCACCTAAAAATACTTTTATTGTAATTACATTTTACATGAATTCCACATGGACAAACATGCCGATACAGAACAATTTGTAGGCCACATTTCGTGTTGGGAATTGAACCCCTGGGGTCAACAGCGCCGCAGGCTAAGCGTTTATCCACTTCGCTATCGGTATGCCTCGCAAATTTTTAAATTGTTAATTCATTTCATGAAGATGTCTTTCAGTTCACAAAAGGGCGGTGGGTTTATAAATGTCATTATTCATTTAGGTTATTTGAACATCACTTTCGAAAATTATTTTATGTAGTGCCCTTTTAGAGATGTTCATTATATATACTTACAAATACATAGAAAAATTCAATTACAAATTCATTTTATTTATTTATTTATTTTTATTTACTTAAACTTTTATGCACAAAAAAAAACCGTAACTATGGCGGACTTAATGCCTTCTGTCTGTCTGTTAGTGTCTTCTGTGTTAATTCATTCTGTCCCAGTCAACCATTAGGATAAGCAGAGATAAACATATGGGAGGTAGTGTAGCAAAAGTAAACCAATAATGAGACAAAAAAGGTAACGAAGTTCGAATAAACCTCTATATATATATATATATAAGTTATTCTATACATACATCATACAAATGTATTATATATGTATAGAATACCTTGTATTAATATATTAATACAGACGTACACAAATGCATAAATCTACTTAAATAAATTAAATATATACATATGTATACACATACATATATGTGTCATGATAAATAAGGCAAATAGGTGACGATAGAATCATTCTTTAGGAAAAAGCGTTAATTCACACTTGCAAAGCTTTACTACAATGTTCACGAACTTTTTTTAAAAGAAGATTGTTGGAAACTTTTTTAATGTCAAGAGGTATTTCGTTCCAAATTCTTGTAGCCGTAAGAGTGAAAAAGTGGAATATATAACCAGTACGTTGTAAACGCGTTAGCAACTTTAGATTATCCGAAGAACGGAAAAAAAATTATGAATATCTCCTAGGTGCTGAAATCTATATTTCAAGTACTCGGGAGCACAAGGATCGTTCAGGATAGTGAAAAGTGTGCAGAATTGGAATAGCCTACCTGCGCTGACGATAGTCAGCCAGTTAAGCCGAGTACGAAAAGATGATAGATGGTCATATTTACGAAGACCATAAATGTATCTGATGCAGTTATTGAGGATACGATCCAATGTGTTAAGATGAGTATCTGCAACACACATCTACATAGTCTATTATCAGCAGAATAAGAGATTGAACAAGCAAAACTTTTGTAGTGGTAGGAAGAAATTTTTTCAGGCGATAAAGAGATCGCAATGTTGCAGTAACTTTGCGGCTTACCTCCTGGATCTACTTGTTCCACGAAAAACAGCTATCAACGAACAGACCGAAATTCTTAACATGTGAAGACTATAGGATAGCATTGTTGTTGTACAAAATAAACGGCAAAGTGGAGATATCTAATTCGGATATGTATCTAGAGCTACCTAAAATTATCGCTTGACTTTTAGAAGGTTTCACGTTAATTCTAAACACAGTGGACCATTCAAAGATATAATGTAAATATTCGTTTAGTAACGCTATTTAATTATTAATACTGGATGGTTCCGCTTGTGCATATAGTTGTAGATTATCGGCATATAGATGATAAGAGCACTTGCGGTTTAATGTGATAAGACTGACAAAGATTTAAAACAGAAAAGGTGAGAGAATACCGCCTTGAAGGACACCGGTTAATACATCACTCCAGTTGGAGACATTTTGGCCAGAATGCACGGCCAGTTGGCTCCCTCGAAGATATGATGAGAACCAATCCTGGGCTGAAGACGAGATATTCAAGTGAAAGAGTAAAGCTAGCAAGATAAAGCTATACCCTCTCGAATATCTTCAGTGCCATTGAGGAGTGCAGTTGTAGTGCTATGCCTAGAGCAAAATTCAGACTGATATTATAAAAAAAAATCTTGTTTTTGAAACTATTAGAAATAGTTTGAACAGACAAAAATTACTGTTGTAATCATCTGGAGAAAAAAAGACGCTATTAGGGGCAAGGTGTGTTTTCCCAAATCCAAAAATATTAAGAAACTTGTTCATGGATTTAACGGCGTTTAGCAGCTCTCACCATCTGATTGCATCGATTTGTCGCAACTTTATATGCCTTCCACTTTTCGTCTGTGCGCTTCCTCTTAAAGGCACGGAATGCTCTGTCACGCTTTGCCATAGCCATTCTTAGCTCTGCTGTTATCCATGGAACTGGAGGGCGCTTAAGTCTGACAACACGCTTGGGAGCATGTTTATCAAAGAGTTTTTGCATATTTCTGTTCAGGATATTGACTTTATCATCAACTGTAGATGCAGAAAACCCAGAAGACCAATGAATTTCATCAGCATCGCGCTTAAGTTTTTCAACATCCAGTCTAGCAAAACTACGAATAGAGACAGACACTGATGTAGGCTTGGAGACTTTAATTTGTATGAAGGAAAGAGAAAATCATGCAGTGAAAAACCAGAAGCAGAAAATTGGCCGTAGTTGGGAACATGCTCAACAGAAGAGACGAATATATGGTTTTGTATTTTAGGTAGGTTTCCTTTTCACAATGTTTTATTTCCTATTCCTAACCATAAGGAAAGTATTTTAGTATATTATTTAAACGATTAAGGTAAAATAAGTGGGTAAGGTAAGAATACATTGGTGTTCCATGAATATATTACACAAATTAAAAAATTACAATTGGTAAAGCATAATATAGTATATTTAAATACATACTATACATAATATATAAATACACATAAGCGGTTAATTTTCCCAATGTTTTTCGATTTATATAAAGTAATTTAGAAAGAATTGAACAATAATTAAACAAAAGAAAATCATAGTACACTAGACAACATCAATACTTGTATACAGGTTTAACGAGCAATTTTCCGAGCAATCACTCCAATTGCGAAGCGTAATTGGCGCCCAACGGGGGCTAACAACTATGATTGGCAAATGCTACGAACTGTGTTTACTTATCAACATATTGCTTATAGATTCTAAATAAATTTTAAAAGGCTGTCAGTAAGAGTATACTTTGAGTATTACTATTAAAAGTATTTTTTAATTTACCTATAATAAGCCACGCTCACTATTTACTAACAAGTTGATAAAACAAAGCTTAAGTTTCAGTACCTGAAATCACTTTCAAAACTAAATAGAAATACATTGATATAAAAAAGAACAGTACATAATAAGTTAGAAAATTCATAAAGGTTCCAGAATTTTTCTTCCCTAACTTCTTTTACATTATATGATACGTATTATTATTTATTCGCCAAACAAAGGAAGCAGCTCGCATAATGATTCAATATAATTTTATGCAAATACGATTCGGAACGATCTGTAAACATATTTACGCCTAAGAAACTTTAGCATTTAAATTAGAAACTTTTATTGCAGCTACAAGTTCGAACAATTTGTAAGAGCTGGAATCTTATTTGTGTGTAATTAAGAAATGGGGTAAATATTTAATTAAATCGAATTAAAAGTATTACTTGAAGAAAAATAAATATACAAAGTTAAAAAACAAGCACGCAGTACACTTAACACTGAAGTGAAATATGTGGCCCATAGAAATCTACATCTGTCTTCAATTAAGTCCTCTTATACGTGGTAGAGCCATGCTGCAGCTATATTTGTGGTATAGTTGTAACACGAATGGGTCGGCTCGACCGGGGAAGGACCACGCTCTCACAGAACACCAGCGTAAAATAGCAGCTTAATGCTGCTGTGTTTCGTATGGTGAGTGTAGAGAACCGGAGACCCTTTTTACTGGAAACGAGGCATTCCATCTTAGTCGTCACGGGTGACAACGCATCTGCATTTTGATTCGTAATCGAGGATAAATGTAGATGTCTATGGGCCACAGCAACCACTTACCATCAGGTGGACTGTGTGCTCGTTTGTCACCCTTATCCTATAAAAAAGGTACAAAATGCAGATGCTTTATCATTGTGGGAACTAAGATGGAATGCATTGTACCAGTATAAGGGTTTTCTGTTATCATCATTTACCACTTAAAACACAGTAGCATTATGCTGCTATTCATTCATTCATTCTTGACAGCCTATAAAAGTATACTGCTGAATATAGGCCTTCCCGAAGGTTGCCTCTTAAGTAGCATATTTACCGTGGTTGCCACGCATGCCAGGTGCTTCAAAAGCCGCAGTTTATATTTTCTAGTTGTTTTCTAAAAGAAGCTACTGCCTCTGCTTCCTTCTGTCGTCTTTTAAAACACCCAAGCGACAATATAGAGTAATGGATATTGTTACACCGCTACTACACCGTTATGCTGTCATTCAACGTCGGTTTACTGTGAGTGTGGTCCTTTCCCAGTCTGGCTAACCCATTCGTGATGATCCTATAGTACAGCTACTACATGGCCTTATTTAACAAAAATGTATGTATTTTTGCATACTTATCGAATACTGACGTTGAATTGGTATTATTTTGTCAATAAAATTAAAGCTGTTGAGCAATAATGTGTTTTTAAAGATAATTTATAATAACAATCTTCTAAAAGCATCCAATAACCTAAATTCTGAAGAATCTTACAAGGCCATCTGTATACTAGAATCCATTCAGATAATGTAACTGATCAAGGTTGAGCATAAGCAACAACAAGCATAAAATTATATTACTAAAGTTATGATTGTTTTTATTTTTTAATTGTCAATATTCAAGTCATTTAAATATTTTATTTTATTTTTTAGATTTAAATATCGTAGGTTGATGGGATTTGCCTTCGTTGTTTGTAAACATGCAATAAATCACTTCAAAAATTTCATAAAAACCTCTCAACGCTGTTAGGTTCACATTGTTAACAATAAAAATACACACGTGTATACAATGTGACCATTATGTAGTTATCTAATTTTTAGTCCATAGATCCATAGTACTATAATTTTTAAAGTACATTTTAGTTGAATTGAAATTTATACTTGACTTTCCGCATCCAGATACAACCCTAGGCTGTTTGGTCTTTCATCCGGAGAGCTTCCGTCTGGTTGGATTTTATTTATATTTTTATAGTGTATAAATTCTATTTGATATGTATTTATTTTATTACATTTTATTTATTTTTATCATCTAACATCCGTGAATATTTATTTATGTATATCTGTGTCTAGACAAGAACTCTATGAAAATGTAAAAATATTAAAATATTTAGAAATAAATAAGAGTTGTATCAGATTTACGAATATCGCTGCTTTGCTAATGCGACGCATTTTTTGGCCTAAGTAGATCAAACTGCTCACTCTCTGTACGCGGTTCAACCTCAAAGTGTTCATCGATATGTGAGCAGTTTGACCTACTTAGGCCCCATATCTGAAAAAGTAGCTAATACTCTTCGACAAAACGGCGTTCATGTGGCGTTCAAAACAAACAATTCTCTTAGAAATATCTGTAATAATAAAGATAAGTTGGATATTCGTCAAAAGTCAGGTGTTTACAAACTTGTTTGTGACGAATGCCACGCCGTTTACGTGGGTCAGACTGGTCGCAATTTCGGGACACGTTGTAAAGAGCATTTAGCCGCGTACAGGAATTGCAATCCCGATAAATCCCATTTTGCCAAACATCTTTTGGACACTGGACACAACCTAGCCAACGACCACTCCTTTAAAGTCTTACATACGTGTAATAAAGGGCTGCGGCTGTGTGTGCTGGAACAGTTAGAGATATTAAAAAGTAATAATAATACCGTCGCATTGCTGAATGAACAAACAAATGTTACTAACTCACCTCTCTTAAATATCTTCAAGCCTGCTTTCTAATAATAGAGAGCCTCGCAATATGGTCGTTTGTCACCCTCACGGTGATCGGCGATTGGTTGCGTGGTTGGAGGGTGGGCGTTGCGCGGCGGTTTGTTTTTAATTTTACAAACGGCTGCGTAAGTCCAGCGGTGATTGGTCGCATGTTTCATCGCATGACGCAGTCGCTCGCTCCTTAGGTAGAGAGCGGTTGCATCATCGGTCTGTATAAAAGGCACTTGTTTTGGCTCGCCGCTCACTTAGCGGTTAGCCACCGTAGAGTCTATATCACCTGAGGATGCCTCGTGTAGAGGCGAAACACGTGTCGTATTGTCGTCAATGGTGTGTCTTGCCTAGTGTAGTGGTGTTGAGAGTAGCGGTGCTGGGATTAGTGGTGACGGGTATAGTGCACGCAATTGAGGGAGGGCGGGAGGTGCTCTTCATACTAGGTAAGACACATCATTTTATTTTATAACGCGGATATTTGCGAAGTAAATTTTTCTAAAAGCTTATATATATATACTAGCTAACCAGGCAGACGTTGTTCTGCCCTCTCCGACAACCCTGTGTCCTATAGAAAACTCTTAAATTCATAATAAAAATATTCAAGTATTAATTCAAATATTAAGGGTCACTTATAGGGATAAAAACTGTCCTATCTCTCAAGTTGGACCAAACTGCACACAGTGTGCAAAATTTCATTGCAATCAGTTTAGTAGTTTACCAACAATGTGACGAGTAATTTTTATATATAAAGATATATCTCTTTTCAGTTCAGTTCAGTCTATACCACTATTATAGTGGGAAAGTTTATGAAGATGTTTGAATTTTGTTTATGGAACAAGGGTGACAGATGAGCAAAAAGTCTACCTGATGGTAAGTGGATGCTCTGGCCCATAGACATCTACATTTATCCCCAATTAAGAAACAAAATGCAGATGCGTTGTCATCCCTGAGAACTAAGTTGGATTGCCTCGTTTTCAGTAAAAAGGCTGTCCGCGGTTCTCTACATTCACCATACGAACCACAGCAAAATTAAGCTTCAATTTATGCTGGTATTCAGAGAGTATAACCATAACAACCATGTGTACTGCAACCATAATATAGCTGCAGCGTGACTCTACCATAATCATGCATAATCAGCTATTTTTAACCACAGAGTAATCAAATAATTCTTTTTCATGTGTCATAATCAAAAATAATATTTTACCCAGCAGTCTTCAATTTCAGTTTTTGCTACTCTTTATTGCGCACAGAACAAACGGGTAGTATTCAATTCGCGATTTTGCCAGGTCTATTGAATTTACTTCTTATTTAACTTGGACGAACAAAAAATTTTAAGACAATGTACACGCGCTTCTGTTCACCCTCTTTTGCAATTTCGGAACACTTCTTTGAATACTGATAGCTATTTCCACGTCTGTACGCTTATTTGATAAAAGTATTTTCATGAGTAAGTTACTTTCTCTTAATGAAGATCAGTCTGCTTTCTTTACACAAAACTTTCAATGTACGAGTATATTAATATTGCTTACTAAACAGCACAATTAGAAGAAAATGCAAATACTTCTAACCGACATCAACAAGGAAGAGGTTCTTAAGTCAACTGTATAAGTTTATGTGTGTTACTTCTGAATTTTATGATTCTTTTATATTTGGAAGCTGGTGCTTCTTATGCGGTCCAATATAAAGTTAATCAAGATCTGACTAGTACTTTTGACTAACTTGTAATAATGCGTATTTAATTGACTTCAACTACATTGATGATGTTCTCATTGTATTTATATTGAAGTCGGATGTACAAACATTTTAATTTTATCACTTGTGTAATACCAGCACCAGCTAGCTGTGCTTCATACCTTTTAA